AATGCCGAGTAGTTTGCATAGTTCTTTGATTACTACCAAGGTAAAATTCCTTCCCTGATCAGAATGTAACTGAAGAGGCACTCCGAACCTGGAAATCCAGTGCTGTATCATCACCTCAGCTACTGTAACAGCCTCTTGATCAGGAATAGGATACGCTTCAGGCCACTTGGTGAAGTAATCATTGACAACGAGTATGTATTTGTTGCCATCAGCAGTTCGTGGCAGAGGTCCCAAGATGTCCCAAGATGATACGTTCAAACGGCGCACCTACGTTGTAACGTTGCAGCTTGCTTCGGCTGCATTTCCTCGGTCCTTCCGACCTGCACAGGCATCGCAAGATCAGCACCACTTTTGCATGTCATCCTTTGCATTATTCCAGTAAAAGCGCTCACGAACTCTCTGTAAGGTCTTCATAATTCCAAGGTGACCTCCTGTAGGGCTGTTATGTAGTTCTTTAAGGACATCAGGAACTACTACGAACTGAGAGGTTTTCCTCCTTTTATAAGATTTTAAAGTCGCGCGCAAGAATTTTCTAGTACTTTCTCGAAATCAAAAAGAGATATTTATTAAATGTTTAATGCACACGTTCTTGTATTTTCAATTTTCCGGCTTAGCTTTCTTTTAATATTCGTCACGCGCTGCACTGCGCGGGAAATAAAACCATTTAATTTATAATTGAACTTATATTAGCTTTTTAAATACCAAATTCGTAACAATATTATACTTATGGAGAGCTGCAAAAATGCTATAGAAATAACATGGAAGAAAATTAAATTATGGTACTCATGTCAAAGTATTCATTTGAACATATTACAAACACTTAATTTTCTTTACTTAAAAACCAATTAAAGTATATGTTGTTCAACTTCTCAATAAAATCTAACTTTTAATAATAATAATAAAATAATAAAGGGGCAAACATTTGATTGTTCTGGTAGAAATTTAAAAAAAAAACAGTTTGTATACATGGCCAATTTTCCTAACAAAATATAATCCATAATTTAGTACACTAGAATTTTTCTATTAGTTGAGACAGCATAATATGTCTTGTTTACAAATAATCAACCAGAAGTAACATATTACTTAAAGCTCATAGCTGTTTACAACACGGAATTGGTTGGAGTTCATATACTAGCCACATCAGATTTTCTTTTTAAATGAAGAATCTAAATTTCCTTTCATAATGTATATTTTTTCTGTATGGTGTTTTATATTTTTAATCCTTAATTTCATAAAAGTAGATATTTCCACGTTTTTTTTAATAACTAATTTTGTAACTGATAATATATTTACTGTGTCTTGTATAGTGTTGAGTTGTAAATAATACTAGTTGTGAAAAATCCATGTCTGTGAAGTATTTGTGTATAAGAATATCTTGACAAATAAAATAAATAAAGAATATTATTACTTAACCACTTGCGCTACAATATAACAAGCAGTAAAGTGTCTCATTTATGCCGCTTTTCATCTGCGAGTGCAATCCAGAGCTGTAACTCAAGAAATAAACAATCTCATTGTTAGGCGACGTGTACACCACATTATTTTCATTTTTGCGATAAATGCCTATCGACGTAGTGTTCACGTTGCTCACGGTTTGAAACAAAAGCATCTCGATGTGCATGGCACGTCTTTTTAGCGCAAGTGGTTAAAGCTCATAGCTGTTTACAACACGGAATTGGTTGGAGTTCATATACTACCCACATCAGATTTTCTTTTTAAATGAAGAATCTAAATTGTCTTTCATAATGTATATTTTTTCTGTATGTTGTTTTATATTTTTAATCCTTAATTTCATAAAAGTAGATATTTCCATGTTTTTTTTATAACTAATTTTTTAACTGATAATATATTTACTCTGTCTTGTATAGTGCTGAGTTGTAAATAATACTAGTGTGTGAAAAATCCATGTCTGGGAAGCATTTGTGTATAACAATATCTTGACAAATAAAATAAATTTATAATATTACAGTGGAACCTCGAGATACAAGTTTAATTCGTTCCAGCATTGAGCTCATATAACGAATTTCTTGTATCTAGAAACAAACTTCCCCGTTGAAAATAATCAAAATCCAATTAACCCATTTTGCACCCCCAAAAATATCAACATAGAAATCAATTTTTCTAATAAATAACACTGGTAAATAATATGACCATAGTTTACCTTTATGATAGCTTCAAACACCAACCTTTTAACTGCTTCTCGTTAATCCACACCAACAACAGCTTCTCAACATCTTCTAGGAGTTTTGGACAGTGCTTGGAAGTAACGGTAACTCCTTTAACTACATCAAGTTTCTTAATTTCTTCCCACTTCTTCAGAATAGGTGCAAATGGTCGATATCGAAAGGCAGTAAGTCTTTGCCAATTCCGTCACTCTTAGACTACACTTGTTTATCTATGATTTTGTTCTTAATTTCAAGGATTTCAATGATCATGGCTTTCTTATTTTCCTTTACAGAATTATCTGAGGCAACAATCTTCTTGAGAGGCATCGTGAAATAATTATTTTTGCGTTAATTGTAATTAACTATTGACTCACAAGCGCAGAAATACGTAGATCAAAGAACACCGAGTGATCAGACGATGGGATTCCCCGAGTCGAGCTGGATTGGGAAATGGCGCCACACATACAAGCAGCCTGGCTCGTTGCTCGTTACTCGAGTCAGTGCTCGTATTTAGAGACAAATTTTTTGTTTATACTTTCGTCGTCTCTCAAATTTCTCGTATATAGAGGTGCTAATATGTCGAGGTTCCAGTGTATACAGTACAGAGTCCAAGATCAGGACTTGGGACTTTTCAGATTTGGGATTTTCCGAATATTAGATCACTACTTTATATCTAGTAAGATGGCATGTAGAAATTATAAAATTAAAAATATGAAATCATGATTAATGAAATAATGAAGCATTTATGATCTAAAGGGTATCAAAATTTACAAAAAAAGCTTATTATTTATTTCTTTACTTTATTAAACATTTCTTTTAATGTGAGTTGTTTAAGTTGCTTCATTTTTTATGCTAATACTTTCTGTTTAATTCTGTAAACACGCATACTTTCTTGGTCAGTCATAAAGTTCCGTTGTTCAAGTTCTATAATTGCTGGGTCAAGAATTCCAACTAACTTGTCAATAGAAATTTGTTCATTTTCAATAACCTCTCTGTCACTTTCTTCACTATTGGTAGCTGTATTTTTTGGATCTAGAACCATACTACAGATTTCACTGTCCATTAACTGATTGATGATTGGGACATTGTCATCGCAATGAGAAACATCTGTTATATCATCTTCATTTATTGCCGCTTCTCCACATCTCTTTACAAAATCCATTAACTGGAAAAATTTATCTTTGGTTTGCAATATATGAAAACCTTCAAATTTGGGGATATTATTATCATCCTTACTATGAAATATAATAGCTTGGCCATAACTTATGCCAAGCAGTTTTTAAAGCATCTGGAAACACATCCTCCCACGATCTTGCGATGCTCCACACAGCAGATTTTATGCTAAAATATTTCAAAAATTCTTGAATAGGCTTGCCATTATTTAGGAAATTTAACATGGATTTTAAAAATGCTGCTTTATATTTGCATTTCAATGCACGACCATTCCGATATCCAAAGGCTGAATGAGGGACGTACAATTTGGTGGAAAGAATAATATGGATACATTATCTTTCACTAAAACTTTAAGTGGAGTATGAGCCTAACAGTTGTCTACAATTAGGACAATTTTTGCATCATCAGGTAAACCAACCAACTTCAAATGTTGCCGAGCCACAGGTATGAATTGATTTTCAAACCAGTCATTCATTAACACTTGTATCATCCATGTTCTTTTATTTGCACAATGTATAATGGGGAAAATCTTTACTTCTTTAAATGCTCGAGGTTGTTTATTTTTTTCGATTACCAGAAGTTTACACTTGCGCGTTCCTGCAGTATTTTCGCATGCTAAAATTGTTAGTCTCGCTTTGAATCTTTGACACCACTTGGAGCCTTTTCTGTAGAGGTTGCAAAGTATTTCTAGGTAATATTGCGAGAGCCCAATTTAGACTTGATAAGGCCCCAAACTATTTGAGATGTGGGAGCCCTTTATAAGTATGTTATACTATATTTTAATTTTGGGGAGGCCCTAAGCTGTAGCTTGTACAGCTTATACGTAAATCCTGCACTGCCATATTGCCAGAAAAGACCAGGTTTATTAGTGTTCTAAATTTGTTTCGGAGATAACTTTTCACTATTAATGAATTCATCTGCAAATGGTTCAAAAGCTTCAGAATAAGTTGAAGCTTTTTCATCTGAAATTTTTAATTGCCTTATACCATGCCAATTTTAAAATTTGGTTAACCAACCTATCGAATATGTGCACTCAGTTTTTAAGTTTATATCTTCATGAAATATTTTGGCTCAAGCACTGTATTTAAGAAATTTAAGAAATTAAAAATATGAAAATGGCATGCCATTGTTGCGAAGCAGTCTGACTCATTCAATCATTATTTTGTCATGATTGTAAATATTAGCATTAACGAATCATTTTTCTAATATTCATTGCGAGTGGCATGTCAGAATCACCAAAAATTCAAATAATTCCTTTTTCTGCTTTCTTACGTCATATACAGTTGACTTTCCAGTATCATACTCCTCGCATAATTTTGAGATGGATATACTTTTATCCATTTTTTGTAGCGATTTCACTTTTTGTTTAATGGAAATTGAAACATGCTTTCACTTTGTAAATCCTTTTGCAGCTTCAGAATTAGAAACTCGGCTGATCTTTACTGTATGATACTCCTTGGTTTCTGTTTGAAAAAGTCGGCAAGTAGTATTGGCTGTTCGTGAAATCTGGAAGCCTGCTGCGAGAAATAGTTTTTCAGTGACCCTAATGTTGATAATGTTGCCGAACATTTTTGTTTTTGTCATTAAAAAGAGGTTATTTTTGTGAATATCGCCAAACGTGTTGTGATAAATTTAGATTTTGGCTATTTTTTGTAATAGTAACCCAGGTTTATATGGACCCAGGTTTTTGGTTCTTACCATTCTTTTCAACTGCTGTGTTTGGTTCCACGTACATGGATTTTGAACTTGCTATTTTGCTGTGGGTACCATCATTTGAGTACGTTTGAGGTGGGTAAGAGAATGAATGTTGATTAAGAGTGGATAAGCTGAAACGACGAAAAATTTAATTGAATTGCTTATGTGGAGGATGGAGAAGGTGGTGGTGGGAAGCATGAACGTATACATGTGAAAAAAAGCTATGTTAAAAAATTCATGTTTCATTTATTTATTGATCTTTGTGTGTTAATTTTTATTAAAAGATTTGTTGTGTAATGTTTTTATATTAGGAAATATGTATGTTATTTATTACTCTCTGATTGTATATTTTCGGTTATTTGTTTGTCTCTGTGTGTTAAGACAGTGGCGAATTTTTTCTAGTTAACATGATAGTTTTAGCTTCCTGATTTTGTTCAAGTGAAAATAGACAAAGTGTACATGGACAAAGTTAATGCAGTGCACAATACCTAGTTTGTGCAAATTTCTGATATTTTTTTTCAAGTTGAAATATGTCAATGTGTACATGGACACCAAGTTTGTGTAAATCTTTGAGTTCTTGTTTTGGTTTTGTGTAGCAGCGCCGATCTTTGCGTCAAAGAAGAAACAATTTGCTAAGAGGTACCGTAGAGTAAATTTTAACCAGAAACTCTTTTCGACATAATCGAAATTTCCAACTTTAATTTTTATAAAATAGCTGTAATAATAACAGCCTGCAAAAAATAATAAGCTGGATCAAATCAGAAATTTAAGGAACAGAGTAATCTGCTATATCAACTGAAATTCCTTAGAATCAGTAAAGTATAATTTTAGCCTAGCTTAATAATCTCCGCTTTATATTATTGGCTATGTATCACGAGATTGTCAACTAAAGACAAGTTCTTCCGTTAAATTTTGTCTTGCTTCTATTGCCCACTGAAGCAGTTAAGCTTTGAATTATATTTAGTTATTTGTTATACTTATGTCTAATTTTTGTACATGCTTAAGGCTTATCTGAATCCTGAATGAATAAATCCGCACATGTATTTAAGGCTTACCCAGAGCCAGTGCTAGGTATCTTACCGCCTGATGCAGTCTCTAGGCGTCCTAAATTCTGCTACCCAGCGCCTTTGTAAGTTCAAAACTTTTGCCGCTGCTAAATTTTGGATACCAATGCTGTCTCTAAATTCTAAAAATTTTGTCATCCCTTAATTTTGCTGCTTCATACTTCTCAAAAATCCAAAAATTTTGTCTTTCCTAAATTATGCCTCCCGGTGCGGTCATACAAGCTCTGGCGCCAGTTCTGGGTTTATGTGAAGAACAAATCCGTTAGTTATTCTTAATTCAAATAGCACTAAATGTAATCTTTTGGCCTAAACGGTTTTTATCACTTAAGGAAATATTTTGTTTTTTTCCAAAGTTTTTTCCTCAACAATTTTTTTTTTAGGCATTATAACTTAAATCTTTTTTGCGCATTACAAATCAATGTAAACAAAAAAAAAAGTTACCATACTTTTTACTACTCAATTACTAATATAAAAAAATTATTTTGGATATGCTGCGGGAGTCATTACTCAAGTTATCAGGTGTTGATAAACATGTGGTGATGAAAGCAAAATATAATAATGATTTGCGAGTTTGATGACGGGGATATAAAACATTAGAAATGTAAAATCAATGATGTTTGTATGTTAGAATGTTACACAAGATGTGTGTTCGTAATTGTACATTCAGAAACATACTACGCAGCTATGGAGCCAATCTACATAATCTATGCTAAAATGAATAATTCTTAAATAACAAAATATGTTATGTAGTGCTGAAGTGAAATTAAGAATCGGAACTCTCCACATGTTTTATTATGGGTGAAAAAATCAAATGTGCATGCATAAAAAACCAAGAAAAATGTGTTGCATTGAAGAAAAGGTTGGTGGAGGTCGGATTTTAGATCATTTCTGGATATTGGACGTCCGGATGTTGGACTTGGTACTGTACGTGTTTAACTATGTAAAAATATATTGACAGCAAACTCTTTCACCCATTGCCTTTCAGCTTCTTCAGCTTGAATTCAGTTAAATGGTGATTATCTGGAGTTTAAATGATTAAGATCACTATTCACTCAGACTCTGGCTGAGGAAGCAGATAGGCCATTTATGAAAGTTCCCACTCTCAATATATCTATATATTTAACGCTCAAATAATATAATTTGTTAAACCTTAAAATCTCCAATATTTTTCATAAATAAGATTTGAATATTTGAAATATGTGTGTATAGAAATTCAGTAATTGAAAAATCAGTTATCTCATATGTTGTCTGTTTCTGAAGTAGGCCTGGCAATGACCATTTAGTACCAAGTAGATATTTACTTGATTTGAAGATAGATTGAGTACCAAGTAGATAAAATCACTGAATACTCGTAGTGTATTCAAGGCTAGCTGCATAGATATTCTTGCAATTTACCCCATGTATAATATGATTATGAGTCTCTTAGACAATGAATATGAATCCTAAGATAGTCCTTTATTAACATGTTGTGAATAATTTTACGAATTAAAAAAGCAGTCAGTGATTAGGGAATCTCTTAACTGGAATATCTAAAAAATATGAAATCAGTGCATCACATCTAGCATTCTCTGAACAATTGCTTCTGCTCACAAAACCAATTCTGAACAATAGCTTCTGCTCATAAACCAGTTTATGTAAAATAAAAGTGGAAAAAGCTCATATAATTGGTGTAAACATTCTGAAATTGAATTGTTTCATTTATGAATAAATATTAGAATAATCAAGTATAAACTAATTTATGTAAAATTAAAGTGAAGAAAGCTTATATAATTAGTGTAAACATTCTGAAATTGAATTGTTTCATTTATGAATAAATATTAGCGTAATCAAGTGAAATTTGCTGTATGTCCCGAAACCATTACTTTTTATGTGAATGAATTACTTTTACTTTCGTAGGAATATGTATTATTCAAGAAACTTCTAAAACTGTTTGCTTATATTGCAGGTACTTAAAGATATTACTGTTAGACATAAATTACTAAAAGGTTATGAAGTCAACTTTGTGCCTGGTTGGGATTGTCATGGCCTGCCAATTGAATTGAAAGTGCTAAAAGAAAGTGATTCAGCATCATTAATGAATAATGCATTAACAATTCGAAAAAAAGGTAAAACTAATAAAAAAATTATAGCTTCATTTTTTTAAATTTGAACATTGTGATATTAATTTATCAGTTTACATAGATATGATAGGGCATTTTATCATGCTTCTGCAAATGTCTTCAAAGAAGCTATTATATTCTGCTGTATATATTTTTATTTCTTATGGTGTAGTAACTTAAATAAAGAGATAGACATTAGGATAAAGAGATTGATAAAGAAATAGACATTTATGTTGTAGAGTCATTAGGTTAATTCGAAGCAGAAAAGATGAAAAATATGCAACCGCCTTCGCCGAGAATCGAACCACGGACCTTTGGAATACTGGCCCAGCATGCTATCATTACACCTCGAAGGCACACTAGGGAAGTGGGAGAAATACCTTATATACTCTCCTTTTTAAAGGGTGACTAGGGTTTTAAGGGACCTAGTCGACAAATCCTGGGTGCGGAGAATTATCATCCACAACCCTTTTAGTTCAGCCGCCATTTGTAGAGTCATTAGGTTAATTGGAAGCAGAAAAGATGAAAAATATGCAGCCACCTTCGCCAGGAATCGAACCACGGACCTCTGGAATACCGGCCCAGCGTGCTACTGTTGCACCACGAAGGCACGCTAGGGAAGTGGGAGAAATACCTTATAATGTTTCATAACTTTAGTAACTCTTTAATTTCATGTTTTTAACTGAAGCATTAAATTATACAATAATGATAAATATACTTAAATTTTTCACTTTGATACAGTAACAGAATATGTAACATTGAGCAAATTAATTTATATATTATGAACTGGGAATTGCAATGGAGTATTTTTCATAAATCACACCTATAACAAATAATCATGGAATACTTTTGTTATTCCAATTTATTGTATTTTGATATTAATATAAATTTTATGTTTTTGTAGCTTTTCTTTCAAAGTTGTGAAAGTGTGCTCACTTTATAAAAGTGAGAATAATAGTTTGACATATATATGAGGGGAAGGGGAAAATGTGCTTTCTTGTTGCAGTGCTTAACAGACATACCAAAGCACTTTTGCCAAATAAGGAAGGGAAACAATGCAGTATCATTTGTAGTTTTGTCTTGCTGACTTTATGTAGCAGAATTCAGGCCAGAGGCATCTTGACTTTTTAAGGCAAAGAGGATTGTGTCTAAGTTATCCTGGTGGCAGTTGAGTATTGTGGGTACTAAATTTCTTTTCTTCTTTCTTTCTTTTTCTTTTTTTTAAATTGGATTTTGTGTTTTTGCTGAGAGTTTGTTAGAGTAGTTGTCTCTATGGTGATTGTTTATGCAACAAGACTCTACACAAGGTTGTCAGAAGGAAGGTTAAACACTTAAGCAAAAAATAAAATTAACTTTATTTAAAATTTGAAAGTAAAATATGAAACTAAATACATGGTGATGGGCTGACGCTAAATGTCAACCATGGACAAACCGGAAATATGAAATACAAGTACAAGAGAATCTCTTTGGCAAAAAGTTATAATATATAAAAAGTTATAATATATATAATAAAGTTATAATAATAAAAAATAATAAGCTGGATCAAATCAGAAATTTAAGGAACAGAGTAATCTGCTAGATCAACTGAAATTCCTTAGAATCAGTAAAGTATAATTTTAGCCTAGCTTAATAATATAGCTCGCACTGTAGTGAGTGCACACTGGTACAGTATAGTGAACATGAATATTGCACGCAAATATTACAATCATCTTATGCCTTTATGCAAATGTTACATTGGAATCATTCCATTGAGACTAACAGGTTTTGCAAAACTTGTTATATCCAGCTTACTGATAGCAGTAATTCATGGCAATGCATCTGCCATGGTACTTTTTAATTCTAGAATATGTTGTATGTCAGTACTATATTGGGCAATATAAGTCATATGTCTTATCCGTCTGGGGATGCAGAATCTGAATTTTTCCTAAATAAAAATATTGGAGGACGATGATCAGGGTTCATACGGTCCTTAAGAGTCCTTAAGTTTTTAGGAATCGATTTTTGGTCCTTAAAAGTCCTTAATTTCGGCCAAAATCGGCAGAAGTCCTTAATTTTAATCATCTGAAATTTCTGTCTGTTTTTTCGATTGCCATTTTGAGTGGGAATTAGCATTTTGGAGGAATATTTTTCGCAATTCGCTGACAAATATTGTTTTCTTTTGAATGGGTGTTTGCATTCATGGGTTATAAATTGTTCCTATTTCTAATTTAAATGGTGGGATAGAATTTCTGAGCAAGAAGTGCAACATATGCATTTTGAAATTATTTAATTTTTCCTAGTGAAGAGCTCTTAAACAACTTTTCGCTTTTGGAGATATAAATTCTTTTATTAAATGGCTCTAAATTTGGTGACTTAGCAACATTTTGGCGACTTTAAGAATTTTAGTTTTAATTCCGAGATCTGGAAATTTTTCGATGATTTTTTTAGAACATTATAACATTGATAAATTTCATTAAAATAATGGTAATATATTGTAATTACATTTAAGAAATAACATTAGAATAAAGCATTTTTATTTTTTGCTGTTGTATTATAAAGTTTCATTTTAGCCACTTATACAATATTTTGAATCCGAAAAATAAGCAAGGTATAATGCTATAAAGCACAATTTATGAAACAGTTCTTAGCAAAAGCAAAATAGCTATGTAATTAATTAAAAAATGTCTTTTTAATTTTTTCATGGTAAGAGTTTTCTCATGTAGTCTCAGAATATGCGTCAGTTTTCTCTGCAAAATTAGTTTTTTTTTTTTTTTTTTTTTTTTTTTTGGGAGGGGGGTCCGATTTTTTTTTTTTTTTTTTTCAAATATTTCTGGCTTTTTGCTGTTACTGAATTGGTAGGGGTAATTTTTTTTTAGGATTTTAGACATTGCAGCTTGGAAAGTTTTGAAGGCAAGATTTATAGACCCATGATTCTGGAAGATTCCAGAAAATAGTGGAAAAATGAAAAATGTCTCTGTGGTATTAATCCACAATTCCTTACTTTTTGGAGAATGTCTGAAAGAACAATGAAAGCATAATAGTTGAATGTTTTACTTCTGATACTAGAATCTTTTTCTTAACATTTTTATCTTCCCTTTGTTTTCTCTACTGTTCACTAGACACAAGCATAAAATATCAGAAATGCTTCTAATCTTATCATATGAACAGACATTATAGAAAAGAATTTTTTTATTAATAAAGAAATTGAAAACTGACAATTTAAACTATTCATCTAATATGTCTTAATGCATCATACGCAGGGATGGCACTAGGCATTTTCCCACCTGATACAATCTCTATAGATCCTGAATTCTGCTGCCTGGTGCCTTTCTAAATTCTGCTTCCAATGCCTTTCTAAATTCTAAAATTTTTACATTTCTAGATTTTTGTTGCTCGATGTGTTATTAAATTCTAAAAATTCTGTCACCCTTGCTCTTGTAGCCGGACCTTACCATACATATTTCATATTTCTTCTGAATGTTCATATTACTAAAGAAATAAAATTAGCAGCTTTCTCTATACATTCTAAATGCAATTAGAGTTTTTAGAATAACAGAAATCTTTAATTAAATCAAAAAATTCTAAAATGGAAAGGAAACGTGGAAGAAAGAAACTGAATACATTAAGAGAAAGGGAAATTATTCTTCAAAGATATGTACAGATATTATTATGTAAATTACCTAGTTGTTTACAATTTCAGCCTTTACTATAATTTTCCATTTTGTATTTTCTCACCAGAATGCAAATCACTTAGTTTCTAAACTGAGGTTTTTGGAAGTGTAAGGCAAGAATGTATTTCTGACCTCCACTTGCTCCCTGCATTGGTTCCTGCCACTTCTGATAATTTGTAATTATTTGTCTTTACATTACAGTTGCCAACATTTGAATTTGTTATGACGATAAAGTTAATGAACTTAAAATGAAATGAAATTATTATAGTCTTTGATCACTAGTCCATATTTTTAGTTTGAGTTTGATTCTTCTTGTTTAATTACATCATCACGAGCTGTAATTGATTCATTTAGTATTATAACATGCCTTTATGTTCTGAGTTCTTTTTAAATAAGAAGCTTATTTAAATCTTTGTAGCTACTTTCAGACATAGCAATAATTTGCTTCACATCTGTCCAGAGGGTTTTGGACTATTTAACTTTTACCAGATCAAGTAAACCCTCATATGTACATTTTGGAGAGGTTGACAAGTTAGGAGCTAAAACACGTAGAAACTAGTGAGAACATTGTCTTGCGTGCTGAGACAAAGTTCTAACTTATCTTCCCTTTATTTTCTCTACTTTTCACTAGACAAAAGCATGAAAAATATCAAAAATGCTTCTAATCTTATCACTTGGGCAGGCATTACAAAAAGAGATTTTTTTATTAATAAAGAAAGTGAAAACTTACAATTTAAATGATTCATCTAATATGTCTAAATGCATCGTACACAGAGCTGGTGCTATGCATTTTCCCACCTGATGCAATCTCTGTGTATCCTAAATTCTGCTGTTTAGTGCCCATCTAAATTCTGCTTCCAATGCCTGCTGTAAATTCTAAAAGTTTTGGGATTTCTAGATTTTGTTGTTCTGTGTGTCACTAATTCTAAAATTTCTGCCACACCAGCTCTATAACCGGCCTTTACCATATATATTTCCTATTTCTTCTGAATGTTCATATTACAAAGAAATAAAACTAGCCACTTTTTCTGTACAATCTAAATGCATGTAGTATTTTTTAAAAATAACATACATCCTTAATTAAATCCAAAAATTCTAAAATTAAAAGGAAACATGCTGAAGAAAGAAATCGAATGCATAAAGAAAATTATTCTTCAAAGATATGTGCAGTTATTATGTAAATTACCCGATTGTTTATCATTTCAGCCCTTACTGTAACTTTCCATTTCTGTTTCCTCATATGGTGGAGTTACTGAGTGAGATTAAATTAAAATTAAATTGTATTATCCTTGATCACTAGTCCACTTTTTTAGTTAGAGTTTGACTGTTCTTGTTTAATTACGTCACCGTGAGCTG